GACCATTTCAGATAGTGTATACAAACTAGGCACATTAGGGCCAACCCCATAGGTTAGTAGTGAAGGAAGCTGGATCCCACACATTTGAATCTTGGGCATGGTGACTTGAAAAACACACCAAGCATGTGTGCATGTGTGCCTCAAAGTCCCGACAGGGTATAGAAATGGAGGGGGAGGGATTGTGGCAAGACTACACCCACTGAGGGGATGCTTTCTGCCTCTCCTTCTCCCTTTCTCTGCTTCTCTCTGGTGAGCACATGTGTGTTTTGGCAATTTAAAAAAGAAAACAAAAACAAACTAGACACACTAAAAGAGGAACAATCAGACATTATAAGCCTCGAGATGTGATGTCACATACAGCATGGGGGCCACCTGTGAAGTTTTCTTGCCTAAAAAGTTGTTACTGAATTTAATCAAGTGTTTAAATCTAACAGCCAGATTATAGGAAGCACACTGGACAGATGAATAGGTTGAGTGACGCTACAAGGAAGAAATAACCAAATCGGAGTGTGGAACATTCCAGGGAACAAATAAGATGATACTGCCAGTAAAACAGTAGCACCAAAAGAAAAGAAAAAAGAGAGACATTTAAGAAAAGGGCAAGACAATGTTTTATTGCATAAAATATATACAATGTGTGGAGCTTGTTCTGACTCTTGATTCCAACAAATTAAAAGGTGTCCGTGAGGGGCCTGCAGGTGGCATGGTGGTTAAGGATGCTGGACTCCCACGTGGCCGACCGTGGTTTGAGTCCTGGACCTGGCAACTTGCTTTCTCATTTTCCCCCCCTCTCTCTCATTCTCTCACTCTAGTCAAATTTAATAAATAAATAAAAATGTTAAATAAAATAATTCTTTTTTTTTTTTTTAAAAAGATGTCCTTGAGAGAAACAGAAATTTGAATACAGACTGAGCTTTAGATGATACTAAGGAATTACTTTCGTTCTCTTAGGTATACTCATGGTGTAAAGGCTTTACTTTTTTTTAATTGACACAAGCGTTGTGCATATTTATGGAGTACAACATGATTTTCCAACATGTGACTACAATGTGTAATGATTAAATAATACAATAATTAGCATATTCAGCTTCTCAAACATTTGCCATGATTTTGTGTTGAGAACATTCAAAATCATCCTCTCTTTTAGTTATTTGGATATGTACAGTAAATTATTGTTAACCTTAGTTATCCTCCTTTACTCCAGAATTCTAGAACTTCTTCCTTAATCTAACTGTGATTTGTTTACCTGTAAACCAACATCTTTCTATCCCTTACTTCCCCCTACCCTTACCCTCTGGTAACCGCTAATTACATTCTAATTCTATGAGAACAACGTTTTTAGTTTCCACGTGAGTGAGCACATGTGATTCCTCTCTTCCTGTCCTCCAGGCTTCTCCATGTTACCTTGAAAACCTCATGTTTTGAAATGGCTTAATAGTACTCCGTCGTATGTAAATACCACCTTTCCTTTACTCGTTCATGTATCGAGGGCCACTTGGGTTGCCTTCCTATCCTGGCTCCTGTGAATAGTGCTGCGGTAACCACGGGCGTGCAGACATCTCTACCACATACCGACGACTTCCTCTCCTTGGACATGTGCCTAGGAGCAGGACTGCTGGATCATACAGCAGCTCTGTTTTTAGTGTTTTGAGGTACCTCCACACCGTTGTTCATAATAGTTGTACTAACACCATCAGTGTAAGAGTTCCCCTTTCTCTGTATTCTTGCCAATGTTTGATATTTTTTGGTTTTTTGATGATAATCCATTCTAACGGGGATGAGAGGATGTTTCATTGTAGCTTTGATTTGCATTTCCCTGATGATTAGTGATGTTGATCATTTTTCATGTACTAGTGGGCCATTTGTATATCTTCTTTTGGAAAATGATTATTCAGATTATTTGCCCACTTAAAAAATTGGATTATTTAGTTTTTTGCTCTTCAATTGTTTGAGTTCCTTGTATATTCTGCTTAGTAATTCCATTTTGGATGTATGTCATATCATTTGCAAATATTAGGTTGTTGGGAAAGCCATGACATATTTTTTTCTTTTTTTGAAAAAGAATTATTTTATTTAACTTTATTTACTTTAATTTGACTATAGAGGGACAGAGTGAGAGAGGGAGAGAGAGAGGAAAAGTGAGAAAGTAAGCCACCAGGTCAGGGACTCAAACTGAGGTCAGCCATGTGGGAGTCCAGCAGCCTTAACCACCATGCCACCTTCTGCCCCTATGACATATTTTTTCTATGGAAAAATATATCATGACTTTCACCAAAACCTAGTTCTTTCTTCAACTCTGTAGGTTGTCTCTTCATGCAGCTTATTGCTTTTGCTGTGCAGAAGTTTTTTAGTTTAATATAATCCCATTTATCTACTTTTGCTTTGTTCCCCATACTTTTAAGGTCTTTTCCAAAAACTTTTTGCTCTAATGGTATAAAGATTTTAAGTGTGTAGGCATGAATGTGTGTATGTGTGTGGGTATGTTGAATGCATAAAAACTCATACATACATATTTAAACCTTGTAAGTTGAAAATGCGCATCAAGATTTTAGGAATGAATGACATTTTGAATTTGTTTAAAATACTCCAGAAAAAAGTGGTATGCAATAAATTAAACTGGAAAAAAATTGCTAATTGTTGAAGCTGGATCATGGGTACTTAGAGATTTGTTATTCCATTCTCACTATCATGGAGTATTTTTCAAAACAAAAAGTTGAAAACAAAAATTCACAAAAAGCAGAGCTCATACTGAAATAGAGGACGCATGAGAAAAGAACCAAGTCTCAGGGGAAAATAACAAGTTCAGTTTGGATGTCTTGAGTTGCACATGCCTTTGGGGCTTCTACCTCGAGGTGTCATATATGTTGCTGGTCTTCAGAAAGCCCTCTGCACTGAGATAGATGTAAGAGTGAGTGTATTTGGTGACTGAAGCTGCGGCATGGAGAAATTACTTATGGAAGGAATAAAGCTTTATGGGCAGTGGGCCCAGGACTAGACTTGAATAACTGATCCATACAATGGCCAAGTACAGGCCTGTGAGCTTTGTGACTGCAGAGAAGGCAAAGAATGAGGGGTCACAGATGCCAAGGGAAACAAGTGTTTCCAGAAGCAGTGCGTGGGTAACCAAATCGAATGCTGCCAAGGTGTCAAGCAAGATTAGGATCAAAGTGAGACTAATAGGTTTGGTATCATGGATAGAGGCTGCTGCTTCCATGCTGGGTGAGAGCTGTTTGGGCTGAGGGACAGGAGGGACGTGAGAAGTGAATGCCAAGTGAAGACAGAGTCCGGACAACTCTGAAGTATGTCTATGAGGAGGGAGAAGTTAGCTTGAGGAGACAGAGCTGACGAAATTAAATTTTTATTTTATTTTATTTTGCTTTCTTTCTTTAAAAAAAAAAACCATTTATTCATTTATTTAAGTCTTTATTTGTTGTGAGTTTCAAGCCACTGGGTCGAGAACTTGAACCATGGTTGGCCATGTGGGATCCAGTGCCTTAATTACTATCATTTGCTGGCCCATATTTTGCTTAATTTCTTAAGGTTAGACATTACGGAATATATATATATGTGTATATATATATATATGTACTGAATATATATATGTATATATATGTGTGTGTACATATATATATTCAGTATAAATATATATGAAGAATTTTTTTTAATTAATTTATTTATTTATTTATTTTTAAAATTTGACCAGAGAGGGACCTAGTGAACAAGAGAGAGAGAAAGTGAGAAGGCAAGCTGCCAGGTCTGGGACTTGAACCACGGTTCATCCATGTAGGAGTCCAGCGCCCTTAACCACTGCACTACCTGCTGGCCCCTATTGAATATACTTAAATGAGAGGAATGATTCAGTAGAGAGGAAAAAGTTGAATAGTCAGGAAAAGAGACAGGAACGTAAGGTTCCTGAGAAAGCAGTGGGGGATGAGCTGAAGGGCAGTTTTGGGACAAGAGGTGGGATCACTCCTTGGTTTCAGTTGGCAGGAGGAAATGGTCCATGCCAGTAGCAGAATGTTGTTCCTATGTAGTTTTATTTCGCTGAGAAATAGGACATGATGCCACCAGCTGCGGGCAGAAGGGAATTTGTAGGATTGGAGGTGTGAGGGTCTTAGGGAAGACTGGAGTTGGTCATGGAAAAGGAAGCATGAATGACCAGAGAAAATGGTAGGAGTGTCCAGCGGGGTGGAGGTTGGTAACCATGGTCTGACAGGAGACAGTGAAGGATTCAACCAGGGCAAGGTAGGCAGTGTTGGTGGAAGGCAAGGATGATGTGAATGACCAACATGGGGAGAGGTCCCTGTGTCTAGCACAACTAGAAGACTTCCTGGAAGAATCTGGACCTAGGGCAATGAGTAGGTGATTCTGATGGTGAGAGCTTGAAAACTGTGGTCTTTTCAACTCCAGTTTTCCATCTCTTATTGCAGTCTACCGCCTCCTTCAATGTCTCACCCATTTCCCACTTCCTGTCCCAGAATGTCCTTCACTGCCCCAGTCTGACATGGCTTCAAGGCCTATATCTGGGTTGCTTACCAGTTTAAAAATGCGCTTCTCAATTCCTGATGGCAAGTATTATAGCTTGGTGAGCTGAGTGGCAGGCATAGTACGCTACAGATGAGACTCCTGCCTGGCAGGGGGCTCAGACAAAACCGGGTTTGACCACAGAGGAGAGGAGACCAACTGCAAAGTGGCTTTCTCAGGCCCATGGCCCACTGTCTTCTCCCCTCACACAAGGCAACAACATAAAGCATCACATTTTGCCTGTAGAAAGAGCTCCGGATGCTGCCTAGCCTGGCAGTGAGTTTTTCCACATAATCCCTTCCCAGATCACCAGCCCTCGGCCGAGCTTGGGCTCCAGCGCTTTCTCTGAGGTTGCTGTTATGAGTGGTACCTGGTGGTAGCAGCCAAAACACACTTAGGGGAAATAACCTCTAGAGGCCTATTGGGAGCTCTGAGTGACACATCAAACACTGAAAATGCATCATCTCTCCTTCTAGCTTAACTCAGGTGATTCGAAAGTTTGCCAAGCAGTTGGATGAGTGGCTAAAAGTGGCTCTCCACGACCTCCCAGAAAATTTGCGAAACATCAAGTTTGAACGTAAGTACTGAGTCTGGGAACAGAATGGAGAGTAACATTTCAGTGCCAAACATTTACATCGGTGGTTAGTAAAATAACAAAAAGAGCAGCTACCATTTACTCTTTGCCTTCAAAACACCCGGTATTGTGCTAAGCACTCAACATGTATGAACGTATTTAATCATAAAATGTTTGCTACGGGTGGCACACTGCCCCGTTTACAGACACGGAGTCAGGCTTAGAGAGGTCGTAATTGGCGGAGACCAGGGATCTGCTCCCAGGTCTCTTGTCTATGTATTGCCAAAGTTTCTGCCCATGGCCACCACACTCAGTCTCCTCAGGTAATCCTCACGCCACCCATCCCATGTAGGAAACAGTATTCCCATTCTGCAGAGGAGCCTCAGAGAGGCGAAGAAACTCCCTCCCAAAAGCCGCACAGTCACGCAGCTGGTAAGCAGGGAGCAGCAGTCAAACTTAGGTCTGTCTGACCTCAAATTCCTGTGATGTCCTTGAAGCTCCTGCCCAGAAATGGTGGTGGTAGGAGACAGAGAGCAGCTTAAGGGCTTCCCAGAGTCTCTGCCTAATTCTTAAGCCAAATTAATATTTCTCCTACAGGGACTGGGCTGTGAATTTGTTCTTGGCTGAGCATCACCGCTCGCTTCCTGGTGTTAGTGTTGCTGGCGAAAACGGGTTCTCTTTTTCTGTCTCGCTGTGTCTGTGTTTGTGGGAAGACGCATGTGCAGCTCATTTGTTGTCGTTAAACAAAGACGGAATGATTCTAAGCAAAACAAAGTTTTAAAATATATGTCTCTTAAAGCCCCATCTGAATACAGCTTGCTGTTCTAACCCGAAAGAAGTGCCAGCTAGGAATAAGAAGGAGATCAAATTACCCTCTCTCCCCAGGCGCGGGAGCCCTTTCAGACGTGCTTTGAGGCTGCCTGCGGTGCCCATCACCTATTGATAACGCCCGCTTTATTTCACGGCTCTCAGTTCTTTTCTTTTCTCAAGCACTAAATTCCGCATCACAAAGTTAAAGAAAAAGTAATTAAGGAGAAGGATTAACGATTGATCGGCCTGGAAAATTAGAAGTTCATCTGCCCCCTCCCATCCCCATTCCTCCACCCCACATGCGATTTTTCAAATCAAGCTGGCTCTGACTACAAATTAGAATAATCCCGGGGAAATTTCTGACTATGTTTTTGACGAGTTCAGAAATTAATGAGAAGAATGCCCCGCACCCATTTTAATTACACAGACAAAACAAACCTGTTCAAAGTGGGCAGCGAGGTTTGTCGGACCTTCCACCTGTGCCTGCCTGGAGGCAGTTGCTCCCCCTGGGGAGTCTGGAAGTGTATTTTGAGAAGGTGCAACAGCACTCCAAAGAACTCTAAGAATGAAGACGGGGCAGGTACACGTCTTGTCTGTGTCAAACTCCACAGATATAAGATCATCCCACTTCAAATGACCGGGCTGTTATGTACACAGAGGAAACGAGAGCTTTTCCTAACTGCAGGATCCTCAAAGTATGCAAATACATTCCCCAGACCTGGAGACCACTTGGTAAAAATTACAGATTATGAATACCAAGCTATATTCGAGGTGGAGCCGAGGCTCATCCTAGAAACACCCCCTCGCACCCCACACCGCTGAGGCTCAATCACGGCTTCCTATTAGACACACTAGTTTTTAAAGGGGCTTCTTCAAAGCTTCCTCTTGATTCCTGCAATTATTTATAGGGAGAAGTGATTGAGCTTGCAATTAGCAAAATGAAAGACGAGTAAATAATTGCTTTTACTTACGGTTGATTAGCACCCTCATTTCTCACACCTGTGAGTGTGGCGAGGGCACGACTTTGAAATATGCGCCCCAGATATCACCATTAGGAAACAGTCGTTTGGAACCCAAATGGGAGAACAAAGACTCCTACATGGGGTTGCCAGTGGGCTTGAGTGATGAGACAGATTCACGTAAAATAAGGAAGCTACTTTTTGAAATTTGCCCCTGGGAAATCCAAGGTAGGGTCATAAAGCATGCAGATATTTCAAACTAACTCTTTTCTTCTTGCAGTGTCGAGAAGGTTTTCCCAAATTCTGAGACGGCAAACATCACTAAATCATCTCTGCCAGGTAGCTGTCCTCTGTTTTCAGCACTGCCAAGCATTGCAAGCAAGGGGGCGGGTCCACAAACAGCTTTCTGCAGGATCTGTGAGGTTCACAGGACTTCTCACTATTGTGTTTTTTTAAAAGAATTACTTATTTCATTTTGTTTATTCTTCTTCTTCAATTTGACCAGAGAGAGAGAGGTAGTGTGAGAAAGCAAGCTGCCAGGTCCAGGACTAGAACTGAGGCCAGCCCTGTGGGAATCTGACACCCTCAGCACCACGCCAACTGCCAGCCCCTCACTATTAGTTTTCATTTCTATGGATAAGGAATGGGCTAAGTAGGTTCAACTAGTATACAGAATCATTTCTGGCATCGGTTGCCCCTTCACCTTTCAGATATGTTCGAAGTCTACAATTCCATGTTTCTCTTAGGTTAGTTGAGGGCCTTCAACCACTATCGACATTTTAGAGCAGATAATTCCTTTTTTGTGGGGAACTGTTTGCACAGCATCCCTGGACCGTACCCACTAGGTGCCAATAGAGTACCACCCCCTCCACCTCCCACGCCTGTGGTGACAATCAAGAATGGCAGTGTCAGTCTCAGGGGATAAAATTTGCAACTATTGAGTCAAATGATTCAATCAGATAAGGACAATGACTCGTTAGTTATGCTATCCAAAAGCGTTCAGAGCTCTGCAGTGTATTAAATATTTGCCCAATTTTGTTTACTTTTTAGAGCTACGTTCTCTCTAGTACACAAATGATACATGCTTACTATAAAACTTCAAGTACAATAGTGCGTAAAGTAAAAGTGGAAGACCCACGCCCAGCGGTTGTAATTCCAGGGCACATAGCTTTCCGTTCCTAGTGGGTGGTCAGAAAAGCAAGCTTTCCTAGACACGCACACAGAGCAAGTCAGACCTCACACTCCCAACTGAACACGCATCCCAAATATACACAGACCCAGATTCACGTATCCAGGGTCTTTCAGATACACCAAGTAAGCAAGCCACTTGGCATTCACATCTCAGCCATTCGTTCTGCAACACCCGTTGAGCAACCTACTGTGTGCCAAGGCTCCCTGTCCTTAACAGGGGAAACAAACAAACAAAAAACAAGAAAGTAAACAAAAATAAAACATTTAAAGTGATAAGTGTTCTGAAGGAAACAAAATGAAAATAGAAAATAAGAAGGCACTCGGATCCTCTTTCATTAGAGTGGCCATGAGCCCCTCCCCGTGGGTGTGACGTTTAAGTTGGACCACACACAATACAGCGAGCGGGTTGCTGGGCCAGGTGGGGAAGACTGTTCCAGCCAGTGGGAACACCCTGTGGGAAGGCCCTGTGGTGGCAACAGGATCATTGCAAAGAACACTGACCTGAAGAACGGTGCCACTCGTGTGGAGCTCTGGCTCTCTGCACTGTACTGTGCTTTTCAAACATTACTTCAAGGAATCCCTAACATTAGCCCTCCTTATGAGATAGGTACTATTGACATCTCCATTATAGATCAAGAAACTGAGGTTAATCTGCTAGCCTGGCCCAAATGAAATGACAGCTGGTCAGCAGTAAGGCCAGGGTTTGAATTGGGCGTGTTTGAATACAGAACATCTGATTTTTTTTTTTTCCTGAATTTGCTGTATGGCATATGTATTCACCAGAAAGACAGAAAGGGAAAATGAGAAAACATCCCCCAAGGAGGTATGACTACACCACAGTCCCTTTTCCTCCATTTTCCTCTTGGAATTTTGGGCACATGTGCACACATGCCCAGAGTGTTTTTCAAACTGCGGCATCTGGGACTCAATTGCACAGTTGGTCAGGTGGGATCCAGTAGCTTTAACTACCACGTTACTGGCTGGCCTCTCCGAACACTCAACTTTTTTTTTTTTAAGTATTATTTTATTTTAATTTAATTTAATTAATTAGTTTTTTTTCTTTTTTTGGAGAGGTTTTTGCTATAGGGCGCGTGTGCTCGCCAGACAGACAGAGAGAGACAGAGACAAAAAATGAGAAATCACCCCCCCCCGGGGGGATGGCCACACCGCAATCCCTTCTCCTCCATTCTCCTCTTGGGATCTTGGGCACGCACGCATGCACATGCACCTGGCATGAGTTTTAAGCCACCTGGTCTGGGACGCGAACTGCGGTCAACTACGAGGGAGTCCAGTGACATAGCCATTACGCTAACTGCTGGTCCCTAATTTGTTTTTGTTTTAATTTGACCAGAGAGGGACAGAGAGAGAGAGAGAGAAAGTGAGAAAGCAAGCCACCAGGTCCGGGTCTCAAACCGCAATTGGCTGTGTGGGAGTCCAACGCCCTTAACCACCAGGCCACCTGCCAGCCCCAGAACACCTGACTTTTACACTTAGTTGTTTTCCTTATCGTTAGAGACTCACTTCATTTATTTATGTAATCTAGGCCTCTCTGATCTTCAGATAGTTCTACAATTATTTAAGATGTTATTTGTGTTTAGATAGTCTGGGTGTAATGAGATTGTCAGAAGTCACCTTTGCCTGGAAAGGCATAAGCATTAGACTTACAATGACCTTGTGCATTTAAATCTTTCATAAATTCTATTAAAAGACATTTTGGAAACAAGTAAAGGAAATAATCCTGGATATGTTTTTCTTTGATTTTATCAGCATTGTTTTAACTTGTATTAAGTTCACTAATGAGGGCAGCTGAGGAAGCCACAGTATAAAAGAGAATTTTATACACCCACATATGGACACATGTGCACGAATAAACTACTGAGTCTTACAGTGTAGTTCCCCTTTTCCTCCATCTGAAGTATTCATATTTGTCTTAATCCTTCCTGTTACATTTTTAAAAATGAACTAGCAACAACAACAACAACAACAAAAAAGGAAAACACTGAACCAGAGCCTAATGCTTCAGAATGCATTCATGTGAAAAACACTTCTACCTTTCTGGGGTTGAATTTATCATAGGCCCAGGGGTAGCGAGAGCGTTCCCAAATCTGAGTCTGCTGCTTCTCAGGCACTAGGTGCACCAGGACGAGCAGGCACAGAGCTCCGGCCCTTAGCTGCCATTCAAGAGCTGACAGATGTCTGGGCTCACCCCATGGCTTCATGGGGTCAAGACCAACAGGGTTGAGAACAGCCGGGTTTGGTCTGACCGAGGCCACCTTGGTAGTTTCTTGTGGAGGAAGAGAGAAGTGAGGAGAGAGCATTCAGAGAAACAGCATGTGGATCTTCTGAGTTACGAAGTCATCTGCTATTTTTCTAAAATTGAGTTTTCCTAAATTTCAAAGCAGTTTGCAAAAATACCACAAGCAGATCCACTAAAAAGGCATACAAGGCAATAAAGTGAAGGGGTTCTAACCCAACACCCATGAGCTAATGAGCCTTGCACTGGGTTACAGGCCTCTCGAACAGTGATCCACAGTGCAGACATCACATTCCAAATGCTGGAGGACTGGAGGAACGTGGACCTGAACAGCATCACCAAGCAGACCCTTTATACCATGGAGGACTCTCGCGATGAACATCGGAAACTCATCATCCAGTGTAAGATGTCCCACCAGGGATTGGTCCTTCTGTTTATGGTTTCAAGAGAGACACCTTGCTGAGTGTTTAAGCGGCATTCCCTCCCACTCTCCCTGGGTCCCATGCTCTTCTTGTGCCTGTTATGTGGGCCGGCCCAGGTAGGAGGACTCAGTATGAAGACGCATGTCAGCATTATTGTGAGAAAGTTCTCTGCCGCAGCCTGGCAGCACATGTTGCCAAGCAAAGGTCCCTGTATGTGGTCCCGAATGCCAGGCATAGTTCATGGAGGTGGCATAGAAAGGGCAACCAGGGACCAGCAGATGGTATAATGGTTACATCGCTGGACTCCCGTGTAGTTGACTATGGTTCGAGTCCTGGACCCAATGGCTTAGAATTCATACCAGGCAAGTGTGTGTGTGCATGCCTAAAATCTAAGAGAAGAATGGAGGAGAAAGGGTTGTGAAGTGGCCATTCACCCTGGGAAATCTCCTGGGTGGGGTGATTTCTCCCTCTCTGTCTCTCCGATGAGTGCACATGCCCAATAGCAAAAATATCTCTCTCAAAAAAATGGGGGAACTGGGACCAGCAGTTGACGTAATGGCTATGTTGCTGGATTCCCATGTAGTTAACCACAGTTCAAGTCCTGGACCTGATGGCTTAAACTCATGCTGGGCTCCTGTGTGTGCATGCCCAAGATCCCGAGGAAAATAAAGAAGAGATTCCAGTGTGGCCACACACACACATACACACACACGGGGAATGATTTCTCATTTCTCGCTTTCTGTCTCTCTGTCTCTGTTTTTCTGGTGAGCTCACGCTTCAAAAAAAAGTATAAAAAAATGGGGAACCCAAGCTTTTTGCCCCTCTCAACACACATCCCAGAGTCAGCCGGATATGCCGCCTGCTTTTCAGTGGAGGGTCATTTGAGCCAGCCACCTATTGGCAAGTGAACCTTTCAGTTACAGCCAGAGTGTCTGACAAGAGGGTGGATGATGATTTTCTTTCTGTGAACATATGTGCATGTTCGTGTGGACAGACTTCCAACACACAGACCCGCAGGTAGACTGCTCCAACGATCACCCCGATGTGGGCAGGTCATTGGTATCAAAGCAAAGCAACAGAGAGGGCCAAGGAACACCATCTTAGCACATCTCTGCTAGTCCTCAGATGTCCATCCTAGTCCACCATCCAGGACATCCCCACAGTCCAGGGGCCCTGGACTCATCAGAATCTGCAGGCTACCTTCTGTACTGTGGTCAGCCTTCGTTTTCCAGGCCTCTGGGAAAAAGGGAACATGAGAGCAAGAAGGATGAGCTGGCACTTCTTCCAGCAGGTCTCAGAGAGGCAAGTGCTGAGAGTGTTGGGGGAGAGGGCCGGTTATGACACATGGCACCAGCCCCTTCTGAGTTCCAGTAGTGGCATCATCAGAGAGATACAGAGGACCATCAGAAAGCCTCAGACCCCTCAGATTTCCATAACATGCCTTCTGCACTGTTGTCTTCAGAGAACTGCCTTCAGTCACCCAGTCTAAGCTAGTGGAGCTTCTAAACAAAGTTTCCTAAGACACTCCTATAGAGATTGCTTTGCCATGAAACTCTTCCTTTTCTTTTTCTTTTTTTTTCTTTTTTTAGTATGATTTTTGCTATAGGGCATGTGCGCTCGCCAGAGAGACAGAGAGACAGAAAGCAAGAAATCACGTCCCGGAGGGGATGGCCATGCTGCAATCCCTTCTCCTCCATTCTCCTCTCAGGATCTTGGGCATACACACACATGTGCCCAGCATGAGTTTAAGCCACCAGGTCCGGGACTTGAACCCCAGTCGACTGCATGAGAGTCTAGCGACATAGCCATTATGCTAACTGCTGGTCCCCGCCATTAAACTCTTTTTTTTTTTAAAGAATTATTTATTTGTATTTTATTTATTCATTCATTTATTTGAATTTGACCAGAGAAAGACACAGAGAGTGGGAAAGTGAGAAAGAAAGCCACCAGGTTCAAGACTTGAACCGTGGTCGGCCATGTGGGAGTGTGTCCAGCGCCTCAACCACCACACCACCTGCTGGTCCCCATCATTAAACTCTTTCAAAAGCAAATGGAGCAGTTGTAATGCTTGACCATGTAGACCCTTCCAGGGTATTTCCTGGGCCACCCTAGAGTTCAAGCTCAACTGAGGTGCTTATTTCTTACTCTACAGCTGCCCTCAGCCCACTTTCCCCCCTGCTAAGAACCTAGAAACCACCACTAAATAGCAACTTAGCTTATCGCCTGTGTATTCTTTGGCAGGTCCAGTGTAGAGTTAGTGGCAAATCAGAAGCCAAGCAAGTAATTTACAAATCCCTTGCAGCTTACCCAAATGGGTAATGCCTTGTGACACAGTGCTGGGAAGGGAGGATTGAGGACAGGTGCCAAGCCTGAGGAGGAGGCCCTAGATCACAAGCATCGTCTCTGCACTTCCCAAGTGGACAGCTGGGTGAGCTGGGCCAGAGGTCAGTCTGCGCAGGACGAGGGGCAGCTACGAGCTGCACTCCCCCTTCCTTACAGTCACTGGACAAGTCCACAGACTCTTGCTGTAGGGGCTGCCATCCCATCCACAGTGGAGATCCTGGCTGGGAGTGCGTGGCTTTCCTCCCATTTAAAGCATGCACACTTGGGACCAGCAGATGGAGTAATGGCTACGTCACTGGACTCCCATGTGGTCGGCCACGGTTTGAGTCCCGGTCCTGGTGACTTAAACTCATGCCAGGTGCACATGCGTGTGTACCCAAGATCCCAAGAGAAGAATGGAGAAGGGATTGTGGTGTGGCCATCCCTCCTAGGGGGTGATTTCTCACTTTCTGTCTCTTTGTCTCTGTCTTTCTGGCAAGTGCATACACCCTATAGCAAAACGTCTCCAATAAAATGTTTTTTAAATACAATAAATAAAATAAAGTATATACGTTGGTTCTCGAACAGGCCGGTCAGAAGGAGAGTTGAAGGATGTTGTGGGAAGAACTTGGAGCTGGGATGCCCAACTAGATGCAGATTCTAAGATCTAGATGCCCAAGATCTAGATTCGCTCCTTGACTGCGGTGCACTGTGACCTTGGTTTCCATCTCTGTAAAGTGGGAGTAACGCGGAGGGGCTATGCTGCTTCTGACGGTGTAGCTCTACCGCGGGGAATGGTTAGGAGTCAGGCCGTGCGGGAACCTTGCCTCTGCTGTCCACTAGCTGTGTCCTCAATTTGTGAAACGAGCATGATAATAATAATGACACCTGCTACCTTACATCCAGCAAGTATTTGACCACCTACTCCACACCGGGCACGGCTCTAAGTGTGGGGAAAGTGAACAAGACAGTTCTGCCCTGATGACGTGCACATTCTCAAGGGCTGTCTTAAGGGTAAGTGAGCACGTTCATGTGAAGCATTTAGAAGCGAGCCCGGTGTGTTAACAGAAGCTATCAACATTTTCATTACCCCACTGCCATTGGCACATCATTGACTAAAGCACCAGAGCTCAGGTACACAGTGGTGTGAAGACCAGGAGAGCCCCAGGGACCCGAGAAACCAGGGACCGGGTTCTAGTCCCTGCCCTGTCACCAACTCATCCTCTGACCTTGAAGGGATTATTCAATCTCATTAAGATGTAGTACCTTGTCTATAAAATAAGCCAGATTAAGTAACTTGACCTTGAAAGCCCATTTTCTCAGCCTGGCTATGGTGGTGCAGGGTATAGGCTCCATTGCACAACATTGGAGCCACATGACAAGGCCCGGGGATCGGATCCCAGTTCCACTTGAACTTTCTGGATGTGCCTGCAGTTACGCCCATGATCCTGACTGGCTGGGAGGATCACAGCATGACGAGACCTTGTCAAGGGTCCCTGTCAACCCCTTCTCTGCAATAAATAAATAAATAAATAAACTGTAAAGCCTATTCTCATTCTAAAGTTTTACATTCTTTTTAAAAATTATTTATTTTATTTATTCATTCATTTTATTTTAATGTGACCAGAGAAAGACATGCAGAGAGTGAGAAAGAGGGAAAGTGAGAAAGCAAGCCACCAGGTCCAGGACTCGAACCATGGTTGGCCACATAGAAGTGCCCAGCCCCTTCACCACCATGCCACCTGCTGGTCTCCTAAAGCTTTAGGTTCTTCTGGTCTTAGCTTACCTCTGTAGCAGTCATCAGCTAAGTAGAAGAGAGCCAAGTGGCTAGTCCTCCGAAAGAGGAGAACAAAAACTGCTCCAATGAAAATAAGAGACATGGGGCCAGCAGTTAGCGTAATGGCTATGTCACTGGACTCCCACGTAGTCGACCGCGGTTCGCGTCCCGAACCCGGTGGCTTAAAACTCATGCCGGGCACATGTGTGTGCGTGCCCAAGATCCCAAGAGGAGAATGGAGGAGAAGGGATTGCGGCGGGGGTGATTTCTCGCTTTCTATCTCTCTGTCTCTCTCTGTCTTTCTGGCGAGCGCTTGCGCCCTATAGCAAAAACCTCTCCAAAAAAAGAAGAAAAAAGAAAATAAGAGACATATTGAGCTCTGCATATAAAATCATGCAGTATGTGATGAAAAGAGAAGTTTCAAATCGGAGATCACTGCCATCATGTTCCCGTTTTCTGTAGCACTTCCTAGATTATGCAGTACTTGCTCATTCAACTCTCTGACTTGAGGCTGAAGGCAGGTGGGAAAGTGATAGGAGTCTCCTCTTACTAATGAGGAAACCGAGGGGGCAGAGAGAGTGCTTCATTTACTCAGCACGCATTTATGACGCACTTCCCATATGCAGAGAGCCAAGAGGCTGGTGAGGCGGCTCGCCCAGTGCAGTAGGGCTGTGGTCCTGAAACTAGAATTCTCAAATGTGCCCTCCCACTGGCCAAGAGCAAGACAGCAGCAGTGCCGCTGCCCACTCGCTCAAGCCAGCTTGTGTTGGATGACAGCCGCAGTCACTGTGTTAGATAAAGGCTGCAGACAAAGAACTAGTGGGCAGGGACCAGCAGATGGCGTAATGGCGTAATGGTCATGTAGCTGAACTCTCACATGGCCAACCACTGTTCGAGTCCTGGAGTCTGAGGCTTAAAACCCACACCGGGCACATGTGCGTGCATGTCCAAAATCCGGAGAGGAGAGGAGAGGAGGAGGGACAGTCCTGCTGGCCTACAGCACGGAGAGGGTTAAACGAATGTCATACAAGCGACACTGCAGTTCGGCCATGGAGAGCCGACCAGTCCAAGGAATGAGAACTGTCTGAGCAAAGGACCAAGGCGATGAAAAAGCAGGGCTTCTGGGGAGAATGGCAAGCCATATAGGAGAGTTCAGAGCATTCATAGGCAAGGAAGATGAGCCCAAAGGGTAGGGAAGCTTTAAATGCCCTTCGAAGATTTTGGGCTTTTATTTAGAGTTTTGTGTTATTCAAAGTTTCATTCTTTTGTTTTTCAAAGATGTATCTCTATCTAAACCCAACTGCCCTGCTGTGTTTATCTGACAGTGTATCAGGAGTTTGACCACCTTTTGGAAGAGCAGTCTCCCATCGAGTCCTATATAGAGTGGCTGGATACCATGGTGGACCGTTGTGTTGTGAAGGTTGGTAAGCTGGTGCTGAAGGGACGAGGTTGGGTCTTCAGCTTCTCACTGGCCTTGTGAACACTTGGCTAACACAGGGCCCTACACTGAATCGTCTGAGCATTCCTCAGCAGATACGGAGTCCTAGAGTTTGGAGGAGAGGTCTGCTCCCCTCCCCAGGAGGTGAAGGGGGTGGGAGGCATGACTCCTGAGTCTCCCATCCCTGGTTTAACCAGGGCAGCATCCCTTTTATCTGTTGTGCACATTGGGTGTGCATAAGCCGTCATCTTTTAATGTGTATTTTTGCTGCTGAAACCTAAAAGTTGAACACCTCTGCTCCATGGGTATTGAACATGGACACCCTTAAGCCTTCCTGTCATTTTTTGAAAAGACAGTAAGCAACGAAAGGTCAGTCTGACCACCATTAAAGGCGTCCGCTTTCTCATAGGTGGCTGCGAAGAGACCAGGGTCTCTGCGGAAAGTGGCCCAGCAGTTCCTTTTGATGTGGTCCTGTTTTGGCACACGGGTGATCCGGGACATGACGTTGCATAGTGCCCCCAGCTTCGGTAAGGCCACCCCAGCCCTCCCTCCTCCACGTACTTTTTCTCTGGGGTCTGCACGTTGACTCCACCTCTGTGGAGTGGGCCGTGCGCTGACTCACTGTCTCTGAGACTACAAACGTCATCACCTGGAACACTTATTCTGGGGCGGACATGACGTTGTCAGGATTTCTAGGGAGAAAGATGACATAGCATGTGAAAGGTAGAGTATCTAGCCAGAAAATGAGAGTTTGGCACACAGATGGTATGACTTGAGTCTGAAGAAGAATCCACAGGAGTGGCTCTGCCCCTTTTACCAGCTGTCCCCCGTGACTTGCGGCTCTCACAAGACTATTTCGTGGAATTCCCCATTCGTGAGTTTCCCAAATCTGGGCACATAAAGGAGCCTCTGAGTTTGAACTTTAGCAGATGGTTTGATTGACACTCTACTAGATAAAGTTTTCTTTAAAAATGTACTCTAGTAGAAGCCAGCGGGTGGTATGGTGAGAGTGCTGGATCTCATATAGCCAACACTGCGGTTCAAGTCCCAGACCTGGTGACATACACAACATGCCAGGCACATGTGAGTGTGTGCCCAACATCCTGAGAGGAAAATGGAGGAGAAGGGATTGTGGTGTGGCCATCCCCCTGGAGAATGATTTCTCATTTTCCCTCTTTCTCTCTCTCCAGTGTGCACATATGCCCTATGGCAAATAAATTAAAAAAAAAAATAGTCTCATCTCTAAAAAAGGGCATTTGCATTCATTTCTCTTTTGTTTTATTGGCCCCTTGCTTTTCATCGACTCCAGGAGATATCCCCATCCCAAATCCTCATCTATTGCTTTCTAGTACAACAAGGCTCGAACTCTCTGCCCAGAGGTGCTGATAGTCTCTTCAGGCAGAAACCCAATCACCAACCTGGGGCGAATGCTAAGCTACCACGGAGGACAGAGTTTTCTCTTTCACCAGAAAGAATGGAGTATGCACTGACTCCAGGTCATCATTAGCAGACCGGTGTGGGGCTCAACGACATTATTTGGACATTTTAAGTCCTGAAACACTTTGGCCTCAGTTTCCTAGGCATTTGGCAAAGGACTATTGGTAAATTTTCTGGGTAATTGCTTCAGCTCTCTAGCTTATTTTGTAAGTAGAGATGCGGTTTCGTTTTCCATTATCTGCAGTTAAGTCCATCAGCTCTAGGGGTTTTGCTCTGGGTTTAATTTGACACTTTTTCCATCTAGCTTTTTATGGCCTTGTCACCATTTTCCAGTTGTGCCATACAACGAAGGGACTGTGGTGAAATAAAAGGCACTAGTTTTCCTAAACAGCTCTGTCCATGAAAGACTGTGTTTACCCACTCGGACAAGCGTTTTGTCGTGGATCCCTTTCATCTCGGCATTGGAAGGTTCTCCGGCCCTGCCTGCACCATGGCTACAGATGGAAATTCTCTTTGAGCTGTCTGTGGAAAGGCTCTGGTGACGGCTACCTGGCCAGTGCCATCAGGCACGGCATTTTGACAATTTCCAGTTCAGCATGGTTAGCGTTAGCGTAGTTAGCTACGTTACCCCGTGGCTCTGGAAAAATCATTCATGAAAAATTGCTTTAGTTTAAGCAAGACAGTTGAAAAAGCATTCGAGATGTTTTCTCGTTTCTTTGAAATCAAAGCATCAATAGTATCACACGCCAAGGACGCATGCGTAGAACGAGCTCCCTCTGTTTGCTTTATTCCTTATTCTTCGTTTCACCGATTCTAAAACTGTGTAGCGAGTACCTTCCGTCAAACAAGGAAAATGGTTCTCTTGGCAATATTCTTTGAAATCCATTTGTTTTGACTGACTTTACAGTTAACGTGAAGAAGGAAGTCTGGATGCTAGAACACTTAGGATTTTGGAAGGGGTTCAGTTTATTATTAAGAAATATGGTTCCTTAAAACATGCTTACTATTTCTGACCCACACACTGTTTTAAGACATGCTGGAAACCAGAGAAATGGCAAAACAAACAAACAAAAACAAACCCACAAATCTCTTAGAAAAGGAAAGCAAGAGATATTAGCCCAATTTAACTTTTCTAAGTATTATTTCAACCCATGAAGGGTTGAAAAATACACCAAGTCTGTCTGAACTGGTCCAGCTCATCTGACTCATTGTTGAGTTTTGTAGCTTGAGAAGGGATTGCGGCGGGGGGGGTTTCTCGCTTTCTATCTCTCTGTCTCTCTCTGTCTTTCTGGCGAGCGCTTGCGCCCTATAGCAAAAACCTCTCCAAAAAAAGAAGAAAAAAGAAAATAAGAGACATATTGAGCTCTGCATATAAAATCATGCAGTATGTGATGAAAAGAGAAGTTTCAAATCGGAGATCACTGCCATCATGTTCCCGTTTTCTGTAGCACTTCCTAGATTATGCAGTACTTGCTCATTCAGCTCTCTGACTTGAGGCTGAAGGCAGGTGGGAAAGTGATAGGAGTCTCCTCTTACTAATGAGGAAACCGAGGGGGCAGAGAGAGTGCTTCATTTACTCAGCACGCATTTATGACGCACTTCCCATATGCAGAGAGCCAAGAGGCTGGTGAGGCGGCTCGCCCAGTGCAGTAGGGCTGTGGTCCTGAAACTAGAATTCTCAGATGTGCCCTCCCACTGGCCAAGAGCAAGACAGCAGCAGTGCCGCTGCCCACTCGCTCAAGCCAGCTTGTGTTGGATGACAGCCGCAGTCACTGTGTTAGATAAAGGCTGCAGACAAAGAACTAGTGGGCAGGGACCAGCAGATGGCGTAATGGCGTAATGGTCATGTAGCTGAACTCTCACATGGCCAACCACTGTTCGAGTCCTGGAGTCTGAGGCTTAAAACCCACACCGGGCACATGTGCGTGCATGTCCAAAATCCGGAGAGGAGAGGAGAGGAGGAGGGACAGTCCTGCTGGCCTACAGCACGGAGAGGGTTAAACGAATGTCATACAAGCGACACTGCAGTTCGGCCATGGAGAGCCGACCAGTCCAAGGAATGAGAACTGTCTGAGCAAAGGACCAAGGCGATGAAAAAGCAGGGCTTCTGGGGAGAATGGCAAGCCATATAGGAGAGTTCAGAGCATTCATAGGCAAGGAAGATGAGCCCAAAGGGTAGGGAAGCTTTAAATGCCCTTCGAAGATTTTGGGCTTTTATTTAGAGTTTTGTGTTATTCAAAGTTTCATTCTTTTGTTTTTCAAAGATGTATCTCTATCTAAACCCAACTGCCCTGCTGTGTTTATCTGACAGTGTATCAGGAGTTTGACCACCTTTTGGAAGAGCAGTCTCCCATCGAGTCCTATATAGAGTGGCTGGATACCATGGTGGACCGTTGTGTTGTGAAGGTTGGTAAGCTGGTGCTGAAGGGACGAGGTTGGGTCTTCAGCTTCTCACTGGCCTTGTGAACACTTGGCTAACACAGGGCCCTACACTGAATCGTCTGAGCATTCCTCAGCAGATACGGAGTCCTAGAGTTTGGAGGAGAGGTCTGCTCCCCTCCCCAGGAGGTGAAGGGGGTGGGAGGCATGACTCCTGAGTCTCCCATCCCTGGTTTAACCAGGGCAGCATCCCTTTTATCTGTTGTGCACATTGGGTGTGCATAAGCCGTCATCTTTTAATGTGTATTTTTGCTGCTGAAACCTAAAAGTTGAACACCTCTGCTCCATGGGTATTGAACATGGACACCCTTAAGCCTTCCTGTCATTTTTTGAAAAGACAGTAAGCAACGAAAGGTCAGTCTGACCACCATTAAAGGCGTCCGCTTTCTCATAGGTGGCTGCGAAGAGACCAGGGTCTCTGCGGAAAGTGGCCCAGCAGTTCCTTTTGATGTGGTCCTGTTTTGGCACACGGGTGATCCGGGACATGACGTTGCATAGTGCCCCCAGCTTCGGTAAGGCCACCCCAGCCCTCCCTCCTCCACGTACTTTTTCTCTGGGGTCTGCACGTTGACTCCACCTCTGTGGAGTGGGCCGTGCGCTGACTCACTGTCTCTGAGACTACAAACGTCATCACCTGGAACACTTATTCTGGGGCGGACATGACGTTGTCAGGATTTCTAGGGAGAAAGATGACATAGCATGTGAAAGGTAGAGTATCTAGCCAGAAAATGAGAGTTTGGCACACAGATGGTATGACTTGAGTCTGAAGAAGAATCCACAGGAGTGGCTCTGCCCCTTTTACCAGCTGTCCCCCGTGACTTGCGGCTCTCACAAGACTATTTCGTGGAATTCCCCATTCGTGAGTTTCCCAAATCTGGGCACATAAAGGAGCCTCTGAGTTTGAACTTTAGCAGATGGTTTGATTGACACTCTACTAGATAAAGTTTTCTTTAAAAATGTACTCTAGTAGAAGCCAGCGGGTGGTATGGTGAGAGTGCTGGATCTCATATAGCCAACACTGCGGTTCAAGTCCCAGACCTGGTGACATACACAACATGCCAGGCACATGTGAGTGTGTGCCCAACATCCTGAGAGGAAAATGGAGGAGAAGGGATTGTGGTGTGGCCATCCCCCTGGAGAATGATTTCTCATTTTCCCTCTTTCTCTCTCTCCAGTGTGCACATATGCCCTATGGCAAATAAATTAAAAAAAAAAATAGTCTCATCTCTAAAAAAGGGCATTTGCATTCATTTCTCTTTTGTTTTATTGGCCCCTTGCTTTTCATCGACTCCAGGAGATATCCCCATCCCAAATCCTCATCTATTGCTTTCTAGTACAACAAGGCTCGAACTCTCTGCCCAGAGGTGCTGATAGTCTCTTCAGGCAGAAACCCAATCACCAACCTGGGGCGAATGCTAAGCTACCACGGAGGACAGAGTTTTCTCTTTCACCAGAAAGAATGGAGTATGCACTGACTCCAGGTCATCATTAGCAGACCGGTGTGGGGCTCAACGACATTATTTGGACATTTTAAGTCCTGAAACACTTTGGCCTCAGTTTCCTAGGCATTTGGCAAAGGACTATTGGTAAATTTTCTGGGTAATTGCTTCAGCTCTCTAGCTTATTTTGTAAGTAGAGATGCGGTTTCGTT